GCATTGTAACTTCAGGCTCAGAAGGGCTAGAACCCAGAGCCGTAAAGCCGGTTATTAAAAAATGTTATTATAGAAATTGGATTGTTTAGAGTGTGAGTTCATATCATCCCGTGGATGTCGTATTAAGAGGCGACAGAGAGGAACAAATCAGGAGAAGCAACGTCTTCTTAATAATCACTAAAAAAACTTCAGCCGCCAACCAAAACCAAAAGGTGGTAACTATGATGAATATAGAATTTGGTTATTTTCCATAGTTAGTGTAGTGTAGTAGTATATTATTATGCCTACTATAAGGCAATATATGGCGAAAGCTTATGTTCAGTAGTGGACTTTTGCTTTCTTCTGTTTTTTTTTTTAATTTTTCTTCTATTTTTCCCCTTGTTCGCTGTATGTACGACGGTGGGCCGCAGGTCACGCGAAGGGCAACGCGAGTGCGTGCGGCGCGGAGTCGTTCCGCTGCGAGCGGTCGGGCGCGTGCGTGCCGGCGAGCGCGCGCTGCGACGGCGCCGCCGACTGCGCGCACGCAGAGGACGAGGCGGGCTGCAGTTGCGCCGCTGGCGCCTTCCGCTGCACTGACTCGCAGCTCTGCCTCGACATGGTCAGTACTCTCTCTCTTTCTCTTTCTCTCTCTTTCTCTCTTTCTCTCTCTCTCTCTCGCTCTTTCGCTCCTGCGACGGCGCCGCCGACTGCGCACACGCGGAGGACGAGGTGGGCTGCAGCTGTGCCGCCGGCGTCTTCCGCTGCACCGACTCGCAGCTCTGCCTCGACATATTCAGTACTCTCCCTCTCTCTCTTTCTCTCTCTCTCTCTCTCTCGCTCCTGTGACGGCGCCGCCGACAGCGCGCACGCGGAGGACGAGGCGGGCTGCAGCTGCGCCGCCGGCGCCTTCCGCTGCACCGACTCGCAGCTCTGCCTCGACATATTCAGTACTCTCCCTCTCTCTCTTTCTCTCTCTCTCTCTCTTTCTCGCTCCTGCGACGGCGCCGCCGACTGCGCACACGCGGAGGACGAGGTGGCTGCAGCTGCGCCGCCGGCGTCTTCCGCTGCACCGACTCGCAGCTCTGCCTCGACATATTCAGTACTCTCCCTCTCTCTCTTTCTCTCTCTCTCTCTCTCGCTCCTGTGACGGCGCCGCCGACAGCGCGCACGCGGAGGACGAGGCGGGCTGCAGCTGCGCCGCCGGCGCCTTCCGCTGCACCGACTAGCAGCTCTGCCTCGACATATTCAGTACTCTCCCTCTCTCTCTTTCTCTCTCCCTCTCTCTCTCGCTCCTGCGACGGCGCCGCCGACTGCGCGCACGCGGAGAACGAGGCGGGCTGCAGCTGCGCCGCCGGCGCCTTCCGCTGCACCAACTCGCAGCTCTGCCTCGACATAGTCAGTACTCTCTCTCTCTCTCTCTCTTTATCTCTCTCTTTCTCTCTCTCTCCCTCGTTCCTGAGACGGCGCCGCCGACTGCGCGCACGCGGAGGACCAGGCGGGCTGCAGCTGCGCCGACGGCGTCTTCCGCTGCACCGACTCGCAGCTCTGCCTCGACATAGTCAGTACTCTCTCTCCCTTTCTCTCTCTCTCTCTCTCTGCAAGGTTTTGAAATGAAAACTTCTTTAGAATCGTGATTCGAAACAAATAGAGACAAACATATACATTTATTAGTTTTAGCCTGCGAGAGAATGAGATAAAATACAGTATACAGTGCTTCCTATTATCTCGTTCTCCTTTTCTAAAGGTTTTTTTTATAGAATAAAGGTCACAAACGACCAAACAGTTCACCTAATTGTATGAAGTAGAGCGTAGGAGTGGAGCGTAAGCGGTAAGTAGAGCGTAGACCGTGGAGAAGTAATTACGTGGTAGAGCCAAGCTGCATCTATATGAGTAGTATAGTTGTAGCACGAATGGGTCGGCTCGACCAGGGAAGAAGCTCCGCGATGTTAGCACCTCATGTGCGGAATTTTGATTTACCAATTGGTATAATTGGTAAATCAAAATTCTGAAAGGTCAGAAATTGGTCATAAAAGGTCAGTTGATCTTATTAATTGATCAGCGTTAGAAACATTTTTATTAAGGGTTAAAGTTTTTCAAGGTCATTTAGCACCACATTCACGAAAAAAATAAAAAATTTCACCTATGCGCGATCGAGAAGCATTCCCTGATAATTGGTCAGCTTATATGAATATTTGTAGGTCGTAACGCGCATTCTTTGGGACGGTTAATTGTATCAGGGCAGTGAGCACTTACGCACAGCTCTTTGGTGCTGTGGGTTTATCAAGTCCACATGGTGTCGTAAACACAATAACTTTTGAAAATATCAATTGTTCAACTCAATCTATTTTTAAAACTCTTCATCTATCATGTGGGAAGTCATGGAATGTAAATGGCAGTTAAATTTTGTTTTGTTTAGCTATAATTAATTTTTTATGGCTAAGAAATGGAGGATTTAATGTCCATGTCAGACCTATGCCGGTAGTTGTTGGGAGCATTAAGCTCAAAGTTGTTGACGAGTATGTTTACCTGGGACAAATAGTCCGACTAGGTAAGTCCAACTTCGACCGAGAGGTCAATCGGATTCAACTCGGCTGGGCAGCGTTCGGGAAACTGTGACACATCTTCTCGTTAGACATACCTCAAAACATTTAAATAAAACTAATTTTACGGATTTTATCGCGTATATTAACTTATTTTATATTCCCGACGTTTCGAGCACTTTACAGCACCCATGGTCACGGGGGGAACTGAAGTGTATGACGTCCCAATGTCTTAGTTAACCACGGCTACCTCCAGATTAAAAATTATTAATTCTTGTTTCGATCTACACAGTATGAACTTACAGTATCATGAAGTCTTGCAGTTGTATGCTTGGGTTGAGATTTAATTTTATTAATTATGGAATCCCAAGCAGATGGTAGCACCCAGCCATCTTCTCTATTGAAATTAGGATGTTTTTTAATTTCAATAGCCTCGCGAATCATCCTGGGGAGGAATCGGTGTTCTTTAGCGAGGATTTGTGGTCTATCAAATCTAATGTAGTGACGGGGGCGATCCTGTACGTGTTCACAGACTGCAGACTTCCTGATCCTGTACAGGATCGCCCCCGTCATTTTTAATGATTTCCATCAGATATTCCACCACCTCTGATAGCCGTTTGTTAAAATTTATACATTCGTTGAATTTCGGTGCACAATATTGTTGATTTTTCTTGAATTGTAAGGATACTTCTTATTATCTGGCATTTGATACAAAAGGTAATGATGTTTGGGTAGGAAATGTACTGCGATGGTGACGCGGACTGCGCGGACGGGTCGGACGAGCCGCCGGGCTGCGAAGGCAGCAAGACAGGTGGCGGGGCGGGCAGCGGGGCGGGCGGCGGGGCGGCGACGGACGCGTTGTGCGGCGCGGCGGCGGGCGGCGTGCGGTGCCGCGGGCGCTGCGTGGCCGCCGCGCTGGTGTGCGACGGCCGCGACCACTGCCTGGACGGCGGCGGCCACGGCGCCGGCACCGATGAGGACCCCTTCATGTGCGGTACGCGCTCACTCACGCCTTACTTTTTAAAGTTAAAACTTCTTTAGGCGCGTTATTTTTTAACAGTGAACAAAAGTGAACCGACACGCTCGGCTCGGTGACATTCAATTGGGTTTACTCGGCTCCAGTCATTAGCCACATTTACTGTTGCTTGACAAGCAGTGCATTGTTCCAATAATTACGTCATTAGTGTCTAATTATTGGAACGTATTATAAAATATTATATTATTATGTGCCTATATTTTTCATACATAATATTATTATATTAGTTTCTGTTTTCACTTTTATCGTGTGGTCACAAGCACACATCCATTATTTTTCTTATACTGGTTTTCCACGGCCTGTGATGTTAAAGTCAATTTGTACAAGTGTATCAGTGCCGTACTATTTTCAATAGCGCGGCACAGCGCGTGTTGTGCCTATTTTATTTTACTTCCGTTCAATAATGTTTAAAGAAACGAATGTAACTAAATTTATTTTCTATAATATACATAATATAAAATTTATTGGCCAAATGAAAGTTTTTTCCTAAACATGGTTTAAATACTGAACGAGCTATTCGAAAATTTTTATTGTTATTAAGTTAAGGTAAGAATATCCACTATCCCATATCTTCCCGTTGGGGTCGTGAGAAGTGACAGTGGAAAACCAAGGCAGAAGATGGGCAGCATCATCTTTCTGATAACAGCAAAACAACAATAAAAAAACTGCGGTTACCAGCCCGCTCGCCAAGTGTGGCAACTATGGCAATATACCCCCCATGATGAAAGTTACGAAGAGATGGCCCCCAGTAACGGCGGTAACGGCGGGGCAGGGGGTGCTTAGAGGTTATGTTGCCACCTAGGACGACTCGACCTGGCAGCATATAACGCACGCACCCTAAAGACTGACGAGAAGATCCTGGAGCTGGAAGAAGAAATAGACAAGTTGCGCTGGAATATTATAGAATTATCTGAGGTCCGAAAAGAGGGGGAGGACATTGTAATCCTCGAATCCGGCAACTTGTTCTATCACTGGGAGAAGGCGACCATCAGTCCCAAGGAGGTGTTGGATTTATCGCCCACAAATCTCTCGTTAACAACGTTGTAAAGATTGAGAGTCTGTCGACCAGGCTTGAGTACCTTATACTCAGAATCACTAAACGGTATTCGCTGAAGGTCATACAGGTTTACGCACCAACCTCGGCACATCCCGTTGGTGAGGTGGAGGAAATGTATGAGGATATATCTAGAGCCATGCATTCCTCCAAAACTCACTATACGGTGTTAATGGGAGACTTTAACGCAAAACTAGGCATTAGAGAGAAAGTGAGCTGAAGGTAGGGAAATTTGAAATAGGGCAACGGAACTCAAGGGGCCAGCAGCTGGTCGAAGTCATGGAGAAAGGACTTTATGATGAACTCTTTCTTCCAGAAGCGGCCCCACAGAACTCCCCAGTGGACCTGGTCGAGCCCCGACGGTTCAACAAAAAATGAGATTGACTTCATTATGACGACCAGACGACAACTGCAGTTATGTCTCTGTGATCGCGAGTGTGAAAACCCACAGCGGTCACCGAATGGTGAGAGGTACACTGAACCTAAACGTTAAGTTAGAGAGGTCACGTCTAATGAAGTCAACGCTCCGTCCCTCTCGTGCTCTAATCCAAAGTTCAGAAACCTTTCAGCTCGAGCTACAAAACCATTTTCAGTACCTAGAAGATTGCAATGCAGTGGACGATATGAATGACAAGCTCGTGGAAACTGCGGTCGGAGCTAAGTTTTGCAAAACTCACCGCAGAAAAACACAAAAACTCTCCGATAACACTTAATCTCAGGGCTGATAAAACAGGAAATAAAGCTGCAGTCTTCAGTAGATTTGACAGCATACAGGCAACTGAACAGACAGATCTCTAAATGCATGCGCCGGGACTTACGCAACTTTAATACTACTCGTATTGAAGACGCGATCGAGCGGAAAAAGGGCTCCAAAGTCTTTGCTAGAGATCTGTCTGCCAGAAAGAGCAAACTGTCAAAGCTGAAGACTGAGTGTGGCAGCGTCATTTCCGGGACAGCTGAGATTTTGAGTGACATTGAGAGGTTCTATGGGCAGCTGTATACGTCATCGTTGGAGCTACACGAAAGTGTGAATAACGATCCAAGAGCAAGTTTTATCCAATATTATTCCGATGATATTCCGGACGTCAGTTTGAGATTAGAATAGCTCTCCAGCACATTAAAATTCCTGCAATTTGGTGTGCATGTCGCTCACAAACAATTACGAATGTTTCGCCAACAGCGTCGTATGCGCGCGCGTTCAGCTCGAGTGCAGAGCCTGGCGAGGTGGGGGGCGCGGGGGATGCTGGCGAGGCGGTGGGGGAGGTGGCGGGGCGCGGCTGCGCGCGTGGCCACTGGCGCTGCGCCAACGGCGTCTGCGTGCTCGCCGACACGCTGTGCGACGGCGTCGACAACTGCGGCGACTACAGCGACGAGCACCGCTGCAGTAAGTCACACGCGATCATTATGTTTACTTACGTAGAGGAGCAACGTTGTAGCATCAGTTGGTACGTATTCTTTTTTTCATTTTTTTAATTAAGCTCCCAAAGAGAGCGATGACAATGTGTTATGTATTGTCATTTTACGTTTTTATAGTCTTATTTTAAAAAATAAGACAACAAGTATAAGAATTGAAAACTAATAATACATAATATGAGTGTCAAAAAACAACATATTTTAATGAAATTCATGGAATTTACATATATAACATAGCCAATTACAGATCTTTTAAATTGTGAAAAGTGACAATTAAAATATCCAATCAGCGTTACGATGTCGTCAAAATATCGACACAATCTAACGACCAGATTTAAGAATGAAGGATTGTTGTTTCGTATGCTGAGTAATGAGAATAGGATACCTTTTTTACTGTCAACGAAGCATACTGTCTTAATCCTCATTGTTAATTTGATTCTTTGTCATTCTAACTACCATAAAAAAATTGAAATAACTGATATAATAAAGACAACGTAGGACAATCAAAAGCTAATGAACGAGATTCTGGCGTCACATAATAGACTATTTGATTGCAAAACTCTCCGATCATAAATCCATAAATCGGTGCAGCAATAGCGGCAACATCAATACGAAAAAGCGGTCACTAATTGAAAATAAACCTTTCATGGTTTCCATACTATTTGTATAAAAGCTATAATAATAACTAAAAAAATAATGAGTGAAAATAAAACTTTAATCTATACAAATAAATAAAATTGAAGTGTCTGTTTGTAATGTAAAAATTACAGTTTTTTTACTAAATGCATATGAAAGTAAATACGGTACTTATAACTAAAATACAGTTTTTAAAATTTTTGTCTGTCTGTCTGTTCCGGGTAATCTCCAAAACGGCTGGACCGATTTTCACTGGCAGATAGCTGATTTCATAAAGAGTAACTTAGGCTACTTTTATTTTAGAAAAATAATTAGGGTTCCGCACAGAAACATAAAAACTCTAACACGCGAGCGAAGTCACGGGGAACAGCTAGTATAAAATATAAAACAACTCTTCAAACTATCATTTAGTTTTATTACGCGGATCGTAGCTTATTATTTTTAACATTTCGAATATTGGCTTTCCGCAAAGTAATGAAAGTACTGATTCTGTTAATTATCTGAAAATGCTAAACTTCAAATCTTGGTCCATTTGGTCCTTCGAGCCGGGTTCACTGAGACATTGTTACGTTTGTGTGCACAATATGAATATAAAACAAGAGCAACATGTTGGCAGACGTGAACGAGTGCCTGGTGCTGAACGGCGAGTGCGCGCACAACTGCACGGACCTGGCGGTGGGGCGCGCGTGCTGGTGCCGCGGCGGCTGGCGGCGCGCCGGCGCCGGCGCCTGCGCCGACGTCGACGAGTGCGCCGAGGACGAGCCCTGCGACCACCGCTGCCGGTACGGCCCACGTCCCACGTCCCACCACACTGCACTCACATATACCTCAACTTTGATACTTTTTTTAAGGGCGTACCGAGGGAGCGATACGTAATTGCGGATCCGGAACCGCATTTTACTAGAAACGAGGCATTCCATCTTAGTCCTCGCTCTTAGACTGACAACGCATCTGCATTTTTATTCTTAATCGAGGATAGACGTAGATTTCTATGGGCCACAACATCCACTTACCTTACTGGTGGACCGTGTGCTCCTTTGTCACCCTTATCCTATAAAAAAACATCCCACTCACACCGTGATCCCCTTCTTAATCAACATGAAATGATTTACAACAATGTTTTTAACTTAATGTGTTATCAAATTGTTACGGCCTACGGCTGCTCCCTTAAAGGCTCAAATCCTCAGGGGCCCATGAGCAGAAGACTTCCCGAGCAGACGTAGGTCGGGCCTCAATGTGGCCACGTGGAATTTCTCTAATTACACTAAAATATATGGGGGAGCGTTCTATACTACGGCCAGTCGACCGGGAGGAATTTGGACGTAGCTTACTTACCTATATCCAAGGCGACTGGTCCCTCCGGAGTCGGTCAGGTCGCAGGTGGTTGTGTAGTGCAAGGGAAATAAAGTGATGTGATGTGTCTCTGGGTGTGACTGATGGTGATTGAATCTAGACCTTGGCCGTCGGCAGCAGCCCGAGCGTCGACACCGCTCCAACTTGAGGGGGCCTTCCGAGGCGTTGTCCACAGTCACTTTCCTCGTTCGTCACGATTAACTAACTTATAGAAGCCACTAACTATCGCTGGGTATAAGGTTAACGCACAAAACGCACACGGAGTTTCTGGATCAGAGGTCACTACCGTTTCGCGTAGCAACAGTTAGTTCTAGAATATCAGAGGCCGCACTAGCTAATATTGCCGAATGCACTTATGCAGATTCTGAGTCAGACACAATGAGTCCCTGGAAAGCTCTCCAGCAGGAATGCGCGTCACAAAATCCTAGACCGTATATTTACTGTCCGCGCCTAATTATTCCGAGTTCCCGACAAAAATTGATAGCGTGCAGACATTAGCACAGCTATCAGACGACTCCTTTTTCGCTCGCGACCCGCGCGCTCTTGCCACGCTCGGCCGAACTTCAAACTGGTATCGCCCAGAGCCGCACGCCCCCTAGACGTCGATTCCGACAACAGCGTTTGGCGCGAACACAAATGTTATGACCGAAATTAGCTCGAAGAGCCTCGAAAAGTCGTAGAGCATGGAAGATCTCCTATTTTCCAATTGATCGACTGACGATCTGATAAATACACCGAGATCAGGAAGATGCTTTGTGACAATAATTAAAGGAATAAGCCTTTGCTAAATTGTAGACTTTGAAAAGAAAATATAAGTACAATTCAACGGTATAAAATCCGTAAAAGTAGTTTTATTCGATGCGTAGTGTTCGTGTGAATATAAGAACTCATTAAGTAGACTTGCTATTTAACTATGGCCTGGAACTGGCTTGCGTAAAAAAATATTGAAATATCGATATTATCTCACGATTTTATCGATATTTATCGTGGATATTTTTAATCCCGATATATCGATGCTCGATATTTAATTTAGAATATGGAATTCGTATCAATATTGATATATTTTAAAATATTATATTTATTTTATAATTTAACAGACAAAACATCAAGCAAAAAAAAGCAACAGCAAAGCCATTAATGTGCTGTTTTTTTTCGTTGTCGAAACGTCCAGTAATTTTCGACTTCATCCTGCTCATGCAAAACATGACGTTATATCGATATATTTTTTTCACTTGTCCACTAATGTAATCTAGGAGTGAGGCGTATTTATCGTAACAGATAAAAAACAGGTATCTTAAAATAGCAAACTGTAACTGTGACAAACAAACTCAAGGAACGGCTTCTGTTCCACGAGATGAAAATCCACTAAAAGACAGTCACAAGTTTTTCTTTATTCATACTTTGATCAACAATGACCTTTGTTAGAACACTCGTAACATAAAAATTTTACTGTGGCAGTCAGTTACTCGTCAAAGGCTCTTTTATTTTCTTGCAAAGATTCAACACCTTAGTTAGAAAGAGAAGTACCTCGTAATCAGAGCTCGCGACCCGTAAAATATATTTTTTTTGCGCCCAGATGCAATGGAAAGGGCTACCCTCCGGAAAGCGAGGAAGGGAGGTGGTGAATGCTCTAAGCATACCACCAGCTGTCGTGGTTATATGGGACTCACTACGACTAACCTAACCTAAGTGCCTATGCCTACCCGCTAAACACCACCTGTGAGAATCGCATTGGCTTTTGTGGCCTTTCTGCCGAATCGGAAGCGATCCTCTTTAGGGAAAAGGGGGCACAGGGGAAAGGGTGAAAAGGGAAAACGTTATTAAATGCAACCTAGTACTTTAAGTACACGTTTCAGTCAAACAATAACGCGTTTTTAAATTGATGAGCAACATCTAGTGACAAATTAACTAAACTAAACTTAAACCAACAAACACTTGCTGTTGACTGTACATATCTGATTCAATTATATTTTTTCTAATAGAGAATTTATTTAATTTTCTATGTGTCCCTCACTATTTTGTTTTAAGTTGGAAAATAGTAGCGTATGTACCACGTAATCAAATGAAAATGTCAAAAAATATTTCACTTTGTGTTCCAGGAACACCATCGGCAGCTTTGTTTGTTCCTGCAACGACGGATACAAACTAATGGCTGATGGCATTAGTTGTGAACCTATTTCTTGTGAGTATTTCGCTACGTGTAGTCAAACCATTTCATAATTTGATATTACGACCAAAAGACATCCTATTGTTAGTTCTTATTAATTTATTTGTAACTTGTATAAATTGTAATACTTTCTTTTACCACGATTCTTGCAAATAAAGATTTATGATTTGCCTAAACTTTTTTTTTAATTACTCAGTAAATTCTTTTCTATTAATAAAATTTATCTACTAGAAAATGTATATACTAGCGTCAATTTTAAGCAATGTTGAAATAGAATAAAACTTTAAAAAATTACGGAATTCGTCGCGTTTGATTTTAACTTTTTTAATTCCTGCTGTTTCGGCAACTTTACTGCACCCATGGTGGAGTCCCCCTATGCACAATGCACCAAAATTAGTTTTATTTCATGTGTAGTATTCGCGTAAATATAAGAAATCATAATGTTAAAATTGATTGCAGCCATCAAGGCATCCCTGATATTCACAAACCGCTACTACATCCGACAAACGAGCATTGTGAGCGAGGACGCGCCCCCGGGGTCCGCGGTGACGTCACTGCTCGTACACAACCTGACCAACGCTGTGGCGCTGGACATGGACTGGGCGGGCGGCTGTCTCTACTGGAGTGACGTCACGCGCCTCGGCAGCTCCATCAAGCGCGTCTGCCGATCTGACCGCAAGGAGAAACCCCTCCAGCCTTTGTACTCGAACCCCCATCCGCGGCAACCTCTACATCTGCTCGAGACTTCTTCAACTGACTATCAGGTTAATTATTATCAGTTTTATATGGATTATGTATTATACTTTATTTATTGTTATCTTTAACTAGAATAATAACAAGGATTTTATTATTTAAAACAGTTCTTTAGTCAGTTAACTTTTCTAGGTGTACCAATGACTCAATTCACACTTTATTCAGCTTCGTGCTGTACACCATAGATAACAGTGCTCTATACTCTATGCATAGACTAATCTTACATATTAGTGATGTATCAAGATATTCAATTCATTTATTTGTTTACGTGAATCTATCAATTCTGGATCTTCATTATTATCTTGACTTTCATAAAATGTGATCATATTTAACGAAAGTCGTGTGGTGATAGCGTCAGAGAATGCATCATCTCATTTCGTCTCATAGATGTAGCAAGAAGAGACTATGAGTACTGCCAGAAATATCTTACAGCTTTCCATAGATCGTTTATTATGTGTTTAGGTCAGATTAATGTATCTTTTTAATCTGCCACCACATAGTGACACGCGTGGCGATTATAGCAAAACTTCTCTAATAATATATATGCTATTTTAATTTACGCGTTCCCATTTAGGAGACGATGTATCATAGTGTTACAACAATTTCAACATTTTTAACTTTAAAGATTTAATGAAGAGGGTAAAAATTTGTGAATAAATTGATAACAGTTCATTTCTAAATATGAGCATCTGCCAATTTGGGAAGATATTTACTAGAGTTGTACCAGCTGTACCATGTTGATTTTAGATATGATTATTCTCTTATCTATCAGAAAGTGATATTTTACTAGTGACTGTGTTCAGTGGACCTTTTAGATAACAATTCTCAAAGATGTTTATGGTCAATTATTTCGCAAGCAGATCACAAAGCCATCGTTACATTTGTCAGGCGAGCTGTCATAGTCAGTGCTCCTTTTCTATCTATATGTCTGTCTGGGACAGGTACCACTCTCCTGCCTATTTTTGTCTCTATGCACTTGTTCCGGTCTAAAGGGTATGGGTTTGTGAGACATTGCGCCTTAGTTCCGAAGTCGTCGCAGGCCGCTCAGCACAGGGTGACACTCGTCAGTTCGTTAGTAAAGCTGGCTATACATGTACAAAAAAAATTGGTACTGTTGTTATATTAAAAATAGCAGCACGCTACTAAGATGCCAGCAACCAATAATTCCCGTATCATAGCACTATTGCACTAAGACATGGAGTTGAGTATGCTTGCTGCACTTAAAAGTACTACCAAACACACTTTCCCTAATCCGAAAGATATAATAATAATAATAATAATAAAGGTTTATTCATAAACACGGTCTTACCAATATATACCATGGTAGACTTCTTCTATTGAACGCATAATGCACCCGTATCAGAAGTAAGCCCCTCTTCCATATCATACAATTTATTAAGGCAAGAACCGCTTGTACTAAATTTAAAGAAATTGAAAAATAGTGTAATGTTTGTGTGTGTAGTGAATGTGTAGTGTGTGTGTAATATGTGTGTAGTGTATGTGCGTGTAATGTGTTGTATGAAAGTTTTCATACTTTTCCCTCTGCACAGCCCTACGACATAAAAAGTCTTGGGATGAGCGTTAAGCCACTGAGCAGAGTTGGTAGTTACATATACAACTACATGGAGGTTATGTGTGTATGTATGTAATGAATGAGTGATTTACACATAAATATCCTCATATCAAAATTCTAATTTTAATAGGTTTTCAACTTCAATAAATTCTAATGTCTTCAGCCATTCAGTGAGTTTTATTTTACAGTTTCTATAAGTCATAGGATATATATCTAGTATTTTATTTATTTTATTATATAAATGAGACGAGATGTTTTTGTACTGATTGCGAGCAAATTTAGTCTTGGTGTAATTTAGTGTGGCGACTCTATCTTTTCTTCTTTTAGTTGAAATATTGGTGGCTATATTAAAGGACATATGTTTTTTCAGAACTACGTGCAATATGTAAAGTTTACGAACTGTCAATAAATCTGCATATAAATACAATGAATTTGTAACAATCCCCTTTGAGCTCGTTCTAATTGTATAAAATGAGTTTTTACAGCACCACCCCATATATCGTTATACAATAAATCAAAACAGATTGTGCCAACGCAAAATAGATCTGATCAAGTAACTTTTTATTTGCAATGTGTCTTAGTGTTTTAAATATCCACATTAATTTACGTAATCTGTCAGAAACTAATTCGACATGAGACATCCATGAAAGTCTATGGTCCATTAAGACACCAAGGTACTTTGTAGATGTTAGTCTAGTTATAGTGGGGCAGTTGCAATTCGTGTTAACTAGCGGCTGACAGCAATGAATCTTAATATCACTGGGAAAGTTAGGCAGACTGTTTTTATGGAAAACAAAATGTAGTTTGTTTTGTTGGTATTTAACGTTAGTAAGTTAAGACTTAGCCATTGCGAAATCACAGCCAAACAGTACCCTGTATTAATTTTTAAATTGTTCAAGGAGTCGCCTGTAAACACAATGGCAGTGTCATCAGCATATGAGAATATGCTAGCATGTGGGATCTTCATATTGCAGAGTTCGTTTATGTATATTAGAAACAGGGTGGGCCCTAAGACGCTTCCTTACGGCACGCCATAAGTGACACTAGTTTTTTGACTTATATATGTGAACCTATTTTTACCCTCTGAGTCCTACCAGTCATGTAACTTTTAAACAAGTCAAGGGGCACACCTCTAATCCCACAGTTTTCTAACTTCTGCAATAGAATGGGGATAGACACGGTGTCAAATGCCTTTTTAAGATCAATAAACACTGTGAGGCAGTTTATCTTTTTATCAAGATTATGAACAACTACAGAAGTAAGGACTTCTACAGCGTTTTTAGTCGATTTCCCTGCTTGAAAGCCAAATTGTGAACTGGATAAGATATGGAACTTATTGAGGAAACTTATGAGCCTCTTGTTGATAAGTTTTTCTATAACTTTTGATATTGCTGGCAATACCGAAATTGGTCTGTAGTTGTTGATATCATTCTTATCTCCACTCTTATGCACAGGTGTTACTAGGGACTCCTTGAACAAAGACGGAAATATACCTTTGCGAAAACAGAGATTGACTAAATGACAAAGAACTGGCACAACTTCTGCTCTTACAAGTTTTAGGAAATTAGCTGGAACGTTATCCCAGCCTGGTGCACTGTTAGATTTTAATGCCATCAGAATAGAGTGTACTTCTTCTATATCTGTATCGTAGAGAGCAAAAGATGATATCTGAGAATTTGTACAAAAATTTTGCATAAATTGAGTCTTGTTTGGCTGGACACTCGCATCGGCCAAGTTTTTGCTCACACAACTAAAGATAGCGAACATATCATAACATTCCTTTTTATAATCATTTTCAAGTCCCATTTCTATCAATATAATACTTTTACATATTTGAGACCTTCCACATTTTTGCTTTATTTCATAGATCTTATATGTCTCTTTTAGAATAGAATAGAATAGAATAGAATATTTTTTTTATTCAATATACATTACATGTGTAATTCTTATTGAAAGTCATTTTTTACTTTACCACTGGTTCGAAAAAACCCTCTGTCCTGGGAAGAACCAGCAAGAAACCCAGCGGGACTTTTTTTTTTAAAAATTTTACATATAAATGATTACGAACTATTTACAAAATTTATTTTAGAAACTGCTTGGAAGCGATCACCTCATTCCCAGGGGTTATTATCAACCATGTATTCATTTATACTATAATAACCCTTTTTATACAGTTTCAGCTTAATAAAACATTTAAACTTGGTAATAGAGAGAACCTGTACACTTTCCGGGACCTTGTTGTAATAGCGTATACATTGCCCCAAGAATGAATTACTGACTCTGTGGAGTCGAGAAACTGGTATTACTAGCTTGTGTTTCTTCCTAGTGTTTACAGAATGTATATCACTTCTTTTACTAAAACTATCTTTGTTTTTGTGAACATACATTGAATTTTCGTAAATATACTGAGAGGCCAAAGTTAATATATTAATTTCTTTAAATTTATCTCTAAGGGACTCTCTCGGTTTTAGATTGTAAATAGCTCTAATGGCCCTCTTCTGTAAAACAAAAATAGTTTCTGAATCAGCCGCATTTCCCCATAGCAAAATCCCATAAGACATTATGCTATGAAAATAACTAAAATAAACTAATCTAGCTGTCTCGACACTAGTGAGACCTCTAATCTTTTTTACAGCATAGGCTGCAGAACTTAGTCTGCTTGCTAATTTGGATATATGGGGGCCCCACTGTAGCTTTGCGTCAAGAGTGATGCCAAGAAAAACAGTGGATACAACAGGGCTCAATTCCTCCCCATTTAAAAACACATTGGTATTAAGATTTTTAACATTCGTTGTTGTAAATTTAACACAATTAGTTTTATTTCCGTTCAAATGCAGATTATTAACGTTAAACCAATGCACTAATTTTGATATAGCATTATTCACTTCGTCACATTTAAATGATTGACGTTTAAGTTTAAAAATCAAGGAAGTATCATCAGCAAATAATACTATATCATGACTATCCCCTACAAGATGAGGTAAGTCATTAATATACACCAGAAACAGGAATTGGCCGAGAATCGAGCCCTGAGGAACACCCATTAGTACAGGTGACCCGGAAGAACTTTTACCATTGATAATAACTTTCTGTTTTCTATTACTTAAATATGAAATAATAAGTTTAAGCGCTGTGTTCTTGACACCATAGTACTGTAGCTTCCTGATTAATATCTCATGGTGAACACAGTCGAAGGCCTTGGAAAGGTCACAAAATATACCCAAAGCATCCTCTGAATTCTCCCATGCACAAAAAATATGTTTAATAAGTTCAACTCCAGCGTCAGTTGTCGAGCGACCCCTTGTAAAACCGAATTGATTTTTATGTAGCAATTTATTAATATTGAAGAAACTTAACATCTGATCTAAAATATTTTTTTCAAAAATTTTACTTAATGTTGGTAGTACAGAAATTGGTCTAAAATTGACGGTGTCTAATGTACTACCAGATTTAAATATAGGTATGACTTTACTATGTTTCATTAAATCAGTTTCATTATATGTTTCATTTCATTTTATATAATAGTATGGTCTATGAAATAAAGCAAATTTGATAAATTGATTTCAAGCCACAATTCTGCTATCACAACGCTTATGCATCTTAGAGACCTACATTAAGGCTTTCATAGACCTTACTATCATTTTTACGTGGTTGAGCCTTGCTGCAGCTATATTATGGTTGTAACACGAATGGGTCGGCTCGACCGGGGAAGGACCACGCTCTCACAGAATACCAGCGTAAAATAGCAGCTTAACGCTGCTGTGTTTCGTATGGTGAGTGTAGAGAGCCGGAGACCCTTTTTACCGGAAACGAGGCATTCCATCTTAGTCCTCACGGGTGACAACGCATCTGCATTATGACTCTTAATCGAAGATAGATGTAGATGTCTATGGGCCACAGCGACCACTTACCATCAGGTGGCCTGTGTGCTCGTTTGTCACCCTTATCCTATAAAAAAATATTAGTAGTATAGTTGTAGCACAAATAGTTCGACTCGACCTGGGTAGGACCACGCTCTCACAGAATACCAACGTAAAATAGCAGCTTAACAACGCTACTGTGTTTCGTATGGTGAGTGTAGAGATCTTGAGATACTATTAACTGGAAATGAGGCATTACATCTTAGTACTCACTGGTGACAACGGATCTGCATTTTAATTCGTAATCGAGGATAGATGTATATGTCTATAGGGCACAGCAACCATTCACCATCAGATGGACTATGTGCTCGTTTGTCACCCTTATCCTATAAAAAAATAAATCCCTAAATAGGATTATACATTGTGCAACAGTACTTTAGTAGTCAGGCATATGACCACTCCATATATATGTATGACATTGGGTATGCGTCTCCGGCAGCATTATATTAATACCCTTCAGCAATTTTGCTATGGGGAAATGCGGCTCATTCAGAAACTATTTTTGTTTTACAGAAGAGGGCCATTAGAGCTTTTTACAACCTTAAACCGAGAGAGTCTCTTAGAGATAAATTTAAAGAAATAAATATATTAACTTTGGCCTCTCAGTATATTTACGAAAATTTAATGTAACATACATAACAAAGATAGTTTTAGTAAAAAAAGTGATATACATTCTGTAAACACTAGGAACAAACACAAGCTAGTGATGCCAGTTTCTTGACTCCACAGAGTCAGTAATTCATTCTTGGGGCAATGTATACGCTATTACAACAAGGTCCCGGAAAGTGTACAGGTTCTCTGAATTACCAAGTTTAAATGTTTTATTAAACTGAAACTGTATAAAAAGGGTTATTATAATATAAATGAATACATGGCTGATAATAACCCCTGGGAATGAGGTGGTCGCTTCCAACCAGTTTCTAAAATAAATTTTGTAAATAGTTCGTAATCATTTATATTGTAAAATTTATTTTTTAAAAAATGTACCGCTGGGTTTCTTGCTGGTTCTTCCCAGGACAGAGGGTATTTTTCGAACCAGTGGTAAAGTAAAAAAATGACTTTCAATAAGAATTACACATGTAATGTATATTGAATAAAAAATTATTCATCATTCTATTCTATTCTATTCTATTCTATTCTATTCTATTCAATACAAGGATACGTTCAATAACTTCCCAATTATAATATAAATTTTATAAATGTTATTTATCTTTACTATTGTAATATAATCAACTTGTATTTCTATTATTTATACATTTTGAATATTTTAAGCAGTTTTAATAAATTTTATAATTTTTTAAAAATATAATATTAAGCCTTTACTTTACTATAATTAATAGAATCAGGCGTTACTTTGCGGAAATCCATTATATAAAAGCTCTTACAAAAGTTTACTTCGCAAATATCCGCGTTATAAAATAAAATGATGTGTCTTACCTAGTGTGAAGAGCACTTCCCACCCTCCCTCAATTGCGTGCAATATCACCTGAGGATGCCTCGTGTAGAGGCGAAACACGTGTCGTATTATCGTCAGTGGTGTGTCTTGCCTAATGTAGTGGTGTTGGGAGTAGCGGTGCTGGGATTAGTGGTGACGGGGATAGTGCACGCAATTGAGGGAGGGCGGGAGGTGCTCTTCATACTAGGTAAGACACATCATTTTATTTTATAACGCGGATATCTGCGAAGTAAATTTTTGTAAGACTTTTACTTTACTATAATACTTAATGTTCGAAATTAATGTATTTTAACTCTATGCATAATAATGTACTTAGATTGCTCAAATTATTACTTTTAACATATTTTTAGACGTTTTTAGGTATAGAAATTAATTATTATTTAATATTAATAATAATGTGTGGTCATACCTTGTAGCAATTTGCCTAATGCGTTGGCTGAGGCTTGGCCACATGTTGGCGTTTAACGTGTGGTGTGTGGTGTGCAGCTGGTGCAGGGCGCGACGCTGCAGAACCCGGACGGGCTGGCGGTGGACTGGGTGGCGCGCAACGTGTACTGGTGCGACAAGGGCACGGACAGCATCGAGGTGGCGCGGCTGGACGGCCGCCACCGCCGCGTGCTGCTGCGCGCCGGCCTGGCCGAGCCGCGCGCGCTCGCGCTGCATCCGGACAAGGGGTGAGCTCAGCTTCCTTTACTCTTCAAATTCTACCTTTCTAAGGTTCCGTAGTTATACAACAACGAACCATTGTAGTTTCGACATATCGCTCAAAGACCCTAGGTGCTACAAATCTGTAATTTTGCATAGTTATAGAAATTAATCACGCTTAGAAAACTGAGGAATAAAATCTTAATTTTTTTTTAAAAGCAAACGAGTATGCGGCTCACCTGATGATAAGTGACTACCGCCGCCCATGAAAAACTGCAACACCAGGGGAACCAAGGGAATTGCAGATGCGGTGCCGGCCTTTTAAAAAGGAGTAGGCTCTTTTCTTGAAGGTCCCTAAGTCGTATCGGTCCGGAAAAATCGCTGCTAGTAATCGATTCCACAAGGAAGTTGTGCGAGGAAGAAAACATCTTCCAAATGGCACAGTGGTGGACCGTCAATCATCCAGATGGTGTAGACCGTATCGGGAGTTTTTTTTTTTGCAAATGTTATATGCTGCGTAGTAACGAAATAACCGCAAACGCTTTGCCAAACTCACGGGACTGGATTCGCCAATTGACGAAATAATTGTTTTCACAATTTCAACTTGCCAAAAGGAACTCAAATTCACGAATTTTATTTTGTGCATACTTACATTTGCTTATCTTATCCAGAGAGAGACACCAGCGTAAAATAGCAGTTTAATGCTGCTGTGTTTCGTATAGTGAGTGTGGAAAACCGGAGACTCGGAATGGAAACGAGGCATCCCGTCTAAGTTTTTTAATAAATAAAATTGAAGTGTATGTTTGTAATGTTAAAGTATGTCAGTTGCAGAAAACTAATAAGAAAGACAGCTTTTTACTAAATGCGTAGACAGTACCTGTTACGGCCTACGGCTGCTCCCTTAAAGGGTCAAACCTTCAGGGGCCCATGAGCTGAAGACTTCCCGAGCAGACGTAGGTCGAGCCTCAATGTGGCCACGTGGAATCTCTCGAATTACACTAAAATATATGGGGGAGCGTTCTATACTACGGCCAGTCGACCGGCAGAGGAATTAGGCGGAGTTTACTTACCTATATCCAAGGCGACTGGTCCCTCCGGAGTCGGTCAGGTCACATGTGGTTGTGTAGTGAAAGGGAAATAAGTGATGTGATGTGTATCTGGGTGTGACTGATGGTGATTGAACCTAGACCTTGGCCGTCGGCAGCAGCCCGAGCGTCGACACCGCTCCAACTTGAAGGGGGCTTCCGAGGTTGTCCACAGTCACTTTCTTCTTTCGTCACGTTGACAGTCAATTAACTCTATCGTACGATTAACTAACTTACAGAAGCCACTAACTATCGCTGGGTATAAGGTTAACGCACAAAACTCACACGGAGTTTACGGATCAAAGGTCACGACCGTTTCGCGTAGCAACAGTTAGTTCTAGAATATCAGAGGCCGCACTAGCTAATATTGTCGAATGCACTTATACAGATTCTGAGTCGGACCCAATAAGTCCCGGGAAAGGCTATCCAAACAGGGAATGCGCGTTATAATTCCTAGACAGGATATTTACTAGACGCCCTAACTATTCCGCGGTTCCCGCACAAAATTAACAGCGTGTAGAGATTAGCACAACTGGCAGACGACTGCTTTTTCGCTCGCGACTCGCGCGCTTCTGCCACGCTCGGCCGAACTACAAACCAGTTCGCACCGAGCCTAGTGCCCTCTGGCGTCGATTCTTGACATTAGCGTTTGGCGCGAACAAACCCCCGTCCCGGACATAAGGATTTAGGTCCGCGAGCAACCCGGTCAGCGGGACAAGGTCGCGACAAGTTGCAAGACCGAATCTACAACCAAACTAGGCCACCTTAGGCACCCCATCAGATCTTGCAACCCTAACCAACGCCTCAAAAGATAGCCCTAATGTGGCAAGCCGGAGGGTCAGCCTCCACTGGATGCCCCTCCTGGGCATCGCAGCACTTTAATAAGTCCTGTACTGGACAGAAGTCCGACGACCTCTTTCAAACACCTATCTGTGCCCCTATGATTAGTTCCGCAATCCGAACGGATCAGCTCTGCAAACAGCGACGCTACACGAAGCTGCCCAGACAAATTTTGTGCCAGCTGTTGCTTCAGTGCAGAGCGCACCCACAAATTCCACATGAACATAGTCCGTGGAGAGCCGAACGAAACGCACAGATAGTCCCTAGTATGAATTTTCAACAAGTAGGCCTAGACAGGCCACCCACCAAATTATCGTTTACTAAAATAGTGCAGCAGCTGATTTCAATCTGATAATCTCCAAAACTAGCTAGCCTGTTAGGCAAGTAGTCCTATGCTCATATTTCAACTAATTTGTCAAAAGCATCAATGTTCAACTACAGAATTAATTCAACCAAATTAATCACCGATGCGCATAGGTCAACTTGTAAATTAAACAAAACAATAACGTAAGGGACAGCCCTACTTCTTCGCAAAGCAAAATGATTAAACACTATCATAAACATAAACATAATTTTTCAAATAGTGCGCCATTCAATTTCAGATGAATTCAAATTTTCCTTTCAGCAAACAGACGCAACAATCAAATACAGTGATTAAATATATTTACAAAACACATGCAGTAGCATTTAAAGGAGTAGATTAAATTCAATTCTTTTAATTTAAACCGCTACAAATAGGAAAATTTCGCGGAAAGCCCAAAGCAGTTTTTAATTTTAATTCAAGTATTTTTTTACTAAGTGCTCGACCAGACCAAATCTAATACCTCTTGACAGCGTGATTCAACGCTCCAGGGGGGCCCTAATCTTCCCACCACCAAGGGGAGGCCACATGGCGTGAACCCGACATCAATAGAGCACAACCGCTAACAGTCGCCACTCGGGTTGTACGCCTTCACTGAGGCCGTCGGCAACAGAACATTTTGACAAGTGGACTGTTGACGGCTTAAGGCTCAGTGGAGGCGGCCGTGGTGGGAGCCAAGGCGGCAGCTAGACAGAGCCGCCTCCATCAAATGGGGAACAGTGGTACACCAGTCGCGGCCACTCAGCTAACGGAAGTGAGAAGGGTCCAGCGGACCGATGAGTGGCCGTGAAGTTCCTCTCCACACGCTGAGGGGGGGTGATGACACCCTCGCCCCTGAGGGACCCCCTTCAAACTCAGGGGCCTGGTGGCTGGCCGGCGGGCGCCGAGAGTCACCCAGCAGAGGGCGCGGCTGAGCGCCCCCGCCCGTGGGGGTCGAGGGCCCGGCAGAGTCCCGAGAGGAGACGCCGTTCGCACCCAGGCACAAAACTGCATGATGATTGCCCTGGCAATGCAGACAGGGCCGCCGATGCGGACAGTCTCGCTGGAGGTGCCCTTCCAAACATGAACAGCACCAGCGGCGCTCCTTGGCGATAGTTCGCCTCGCCGAAACCGGCTTACCTAATAATTTCGGGCACGACGTTACCCGATGATCAGATGCTCGACAATAGGAGCAGGGGGGGGGGGGGTTGACGACGACTTGCCTGGAGGATTCAGCCTCTCACTGGGCACGGCTCGTAAGTCGTCAACGGTGCCCGCCGCGCTCTCTATCTGCCGGCACTGCTTCTCAAAAAAACGCAGCAGGTCATAGAAGGGAGGAATATAGGAGGCCTCGTCCCCGCCGTACCTCTCCTCAAAATGGATTCGAAGGTCGAGAGGTAGACGGGACAGCATGATGCGGAGCAACAAAAAAGCCCATTCGCCCACTGGTAAATCCAGCCGCCTCAACGTATTACAGGTCACCAAGACTGGATCCAACAGGTCTGGCCGCAGTCTGGCCCGGTCACTAAGCAGCGGGAGGCTTAGAAGCTGCTTAACATGTTCGTCCGCAATTCGCCGGACGTTGGCGTATCCTCTGGCTAGGAGGTCCCGAGCAGTCTGGTAGGCGTCGTCCGACAATCTCAAGTGGCCGACGACGCCCAGGGCCTCCCCCTCCAGTGAGGCCAGGAGGTACGCCATCTTTTGGCTCGGAGTCATGTCACTCCTGGCGTCCACTAGGCTGTCAAAAAGACCAACGAAGGTCAGCCATTCGGAAAGGACCCCGGAGAACTTTGGCAGGTCCAGAGTTGGGAGTCGTCCCAACAGCTCCGGCTGAAGCTGCTTCAGAGAGGACTCGGACAGGTCACTCATCCGAGCTTCACGCGCCTCCTCGGCATACCTGCCTTCAGCCTCGATCAACTCGTCCGTGAGCCACAAGAACTGCTCATAGTCCGCGAAGCAGGAGTCCAGGACTCCCTTCTCCACATCCGAATCCTCGAGCTCAGCGTAAGCCTCCTCCACTGCGGCCCTTCGAGCATCCACCTGCTCGAACCGCTTCATCAAGTTATGGACCCTATCCGGTCGACCTATCAAAGCATGGGCGCTTGTGGCCCAGCGCAACTCAGTCCGCAGGCAACGGATTAGTAGCTTGGACGATGACATCACTACTAAATACAAATTACGACGCGGCTCGAGCACAAATTACAAAGATAACAAATAAAAAATACAACAAAAACATTAACAGTTAAGAAATGCAGTTCCTATCAAATCGCGTTGAATAGAAATTACACAAATACGAATTACTACGTATCAACCAAATATAAGTTAGCACAAAAGAAAAGACACAAATCAAATTAACAAATAACAAATACTAGTGCGATCAAATCAAGTTAAATTCAAATTGAGCAAATACAATTACTACTCTTTAGTTCAAATACAAATTACAATACAAACGAAGATACACATCACGGTCGATCAACAAAAAATGCCTAGCTCGGAAATCGACCCTTCGATAAGTAATCCACTAAAACTATCCGACAACGATAATTAACCGATTACGTAAAAATAACCATCTACCTACATGACGTATATCTCTAGAAAAACTCCCGCTTGCGCAACCTAGGGCGCGGTTTTTTAAATTACCCACTAACCAAAAAAAAGGCAAGCAACAAACAACAAAGGGAAATAATTTTATTATTACGTACAAAAAAAAATATTTTTACGTATTACGGACGGGCGTGATTGTAGATACAAATTAAACCAATCAAACCAACGCTCCCTGCCACCAGAATTGTTTAATTTTTATCAAACACTATGGTCGCGATCGACCGGGGAATCGAACCCGGAACCAAGCTCTGCTACCAGTTTGTTACGGCCTACGGCTGCTCCCTTAAATGATCAAACCTTCAGGGGCCCATGAGCTGAAGACTTCCCGAGCAGACGTAGGTCGAGCCTCAATGTGGCCACGTGGAATCTCTCGAATTACACTAAAATATATGGGGGAGCGTTCTATACTACGGCCAGTCGACCGGCAGAGGAATTAGGCGGAGTTTACTTACCTATATCCAAGGCGACTGGTCCCTCCGGAGTCGGTCAGGTCACATGTGGTTGTGTAGTGAAAGGGAAATAAGTGATGTGATGTGTATCTGGGTGTGACTGATGGTGATTGAACCTAGACCTTGGCCGTCGGCAGCAGCCCGAGCGTCGACACCGCTCCAACTTGAAGGGGGCTTCCGAGGTTGTCCACAGTCACTTTCTTCTTTCGTCACGTTGACAGTCAATTAACTCTATCGTACGATTAACTAACTTACAGAAGCCACTAACTATCGCTGGGTATAAGGTTAACGCACAAAACTCACACGGAGTTTACGGATCAAAGGTCACGACCGTTTCGCGTAGCAACAGTTAGTTCTAGAATATCAGAGGCCGCACTAGCTAATATTGTCGAATGCACTCATACAGATTCTGAGTCGGACCCAATAAGTCCCGGGAAAGGCTATCCAAACAGGGAATGCGCGTTATAATTCCTAGACAGGATATTTACTAGACGCCCTAACTATTCCGCGGTTCCCGCACAAAATTAACAGCGTGTAGACATTAGCACAACTGGCAGACGACTGCTTTTTCGCTCGCGACTCGCGCGCTCCTGCCACGCTCGGCCGAACTTCAAACCAGTTCGCACCGAGCCGAGTGCCCTCTGGCGTCGATTCTTGACATTAGCGTTTGGCGCGAACAGTACCAATAACAAAAAACAATTTTTTAATTTTTTGTCTGTCTGTCTGTTTGTTTCGTCTAATCTCCGAAACGGCTGTACCGATTTTGACGGGAATCCCATTGGCAGATAGTTGATGTTATAAGGAGTGACTTAGGATACTTTTATTTAAAAAAAAGAATTAGGGTTACGTGCAAAAAAATTAAAACCTATGACATCGTAGTAAATCCCATGCGGCCGAAGTCGTGGAAGAGAGCTAGTATAAAATAAGGGTGACAAACGAGCACATAGTCCACCTGATTGTAAGTGCATGCTGTAGCTCGTAGACATACATTTGTTTTCGATTAAGAATCAAAATGCACATGCGTTCTCACCTCTGAGCATTAATATGGAATGCCTTATTTCCAGTAATAGTCGTCAGGGGTGACAACACTTCTCTGCATTTTGATTATTATTGGGGATAGATGTAGACATCTATAAGACACAGTATCCATTTTACCTTCAGGTGAATTGCATGCTCGTTTGTCACTCTTTTTATATTTAAATAAGAAACAGTTGTGCCTCGTGCCGCAGCCTACTTTACTGGTCGGACGGGGTGCGCGTGTGTTGTGTGTAATTTATTGCGCAATGCGTTAGACCACAGTGTCCATGTAATGGCATACATAGACATGTGGTTGTTGAGTGGAGGGGTGATGGCAGGCGGCTGTACTGGTCGGACTGGGGCGCGCGGCCGCACATCGGGCGCTGCGGCATGGACGGGTCCGCGCGGCGCGTGCTGCTGGCCGCCGGCCTGGGCTGGCCCAACGCGCTCACGCTGCTGCCCGCCGCCAACGAGCTCTACTTCGCGGACGCGCGTGAAGACTTCGTCGCTGTCGCCGACCTCGACGGCAACCGCATGCGCATACTCTTCTCGAGAGGTGAGACTGCATTAAACAAATATGTTTTTTTTTATTCAGTAACATCTGATGCACTCTGATAGTTACTGTGATAATAATGTCTTAGCTCATCCGGTATTGTAGTGATGATCATCATGATCAACATCTATATTACGACATTATACACCCGATTAACTTGGAATGTTGGCATATATACTTCTAATTAATAGAATCAGGCGTTACTTTGCGGAAATCCATTATATAAAAACTTTTAGGAAAATTTACTTCGCAAATATCCGCGTTATAAAATAAAATGATGTGTCCACTTAGCGGTTAGCCACCGTAGAGTCTATATCACCTGAGGATGCCTCGTGTAGAGGCGAAACACGTGTCGTATTATCGTCAGTGGTGTGTCTTGCCTAGTGTAGTGGTGTTGGGAGTAGCGGTGCTGGGATCAGTGGTGACGGGGATAGTGCACGCAATTGAGGGAGGGCGGGAGGTGCTCTTCATACTAGGTAAGACACATCATTTTATTTTATAACGCGGATATTTGCGAAGTTAATTTTCCTAAAAGTTTTTATATATACTTCTTTCTCGACGCAGACACCTACTAAGAACGGATTTTATGGAACTTGTATCCAAAACGGATTTTTGAGGTGGCGCTTTTCTCTAGATCCATAAATCACCCCTGGTAAGCCGGAGTGGATCGTTATTTTCATTATGAATTTGATAAACAGCTTGTACTATATTTTGTAATTCTACAGTCAAAATACGTGTCTACTAGCTACAACGTACAGTAAGTAACATTACTCCACCATTTTCTGATTTCCAATTCAATTTGGAGCCAACTTTTGTAAGGTTTTAAAATAAAAATATGTTTACCTTACAGTAGTGGTATAAAGTTGTGTAAGAATATCCACTACTCCATACTGTCCCGTGGGTATCGTAAGTGACGATAGAGGGAAACAAACCAGGAGACGGGCAGCGGCGTCTTCCTAATAATAACTAAAAATAAAAAACAGGGATTGTTAGTCCACTTGCCAAGCGTGGCAACTATGGCAAATATCCCCCTATGATGCAATCTGTTGGGGAAGTCTATATCAGTATTGAACATTCGATAAGCTGTTACGATAACAGTGTTTACCGTCAATCTTAAAACATATGCGTAATTAAGTCCCTCCTCCTTCGCCCCGACACCATTGGGCCCACCAATCGTGCACTCGGAACTTGTAACAATTATCATCGCACAGCTATATCGAGGGGGATATTTTGAATGTGCGATTTGGGGTTGTTGCAGAGCAGATGCCGTGGCTGCGGCTGCACCACGTGTTCGCGCTGGCGGTGTGGGCGGGCCGCGTGTACTGGAGCGACTGGGAGACGCGCGCGCTCGAGAGCTGCCGCCGCCGCCCAGACCCCCACTACCAGGCACGTCCATTCCACATCTGCCATATCTGCCAAATCTGCCACTCTCCGGCAACATACCTTATATATAAAAATAAATACATATATACATAAAAAATGTTCACTATGCTACTATATATGAAGGAACGGGACAGATAGCCTCGAAATCGAAATACTGTATCCCTTCACCAGTTTTTGAAATTTGGATTACATGTTATTAGTTGAATGGATTTTTCCCTATCATCCAGGCGTCGGAATCTCTTGAACAGTTTACGAAGTGACAGAGCTGCTTTGTCTGTCTGTAACCAATAACATATTACAATTACAAGGCGTTCCATCAGTCCACGAATATCACAACAAAATTTAATATCAGGTTGGTTCATATTTCACACCAATAATAAGGAAACATGGTGTACCACGACACCCATGTTTTATATTAAAATTTATAAATTCTATGACATTTTGTATTGTGATAGAGATAATAGCAAACTTTTCATTCAGTCTTTCACAAACATTTTGTTTAATGAACTAAATTATTTAGTTCTCCATTTAGATTTTTATTAATCGCTCCGCGGTTGAAGTTCTTCACAAAAACTTACTTTTATGTTGTTTTTAATTGAAAGAAAATCAAGTTCAATCACAGATTGCTTAATATTTTTTTATAGGATAATGGTGACAAACGAGCACACAGTCCACCTGATGGTAAGTGGTTGCTGCGGCCCATAGACATCTACATCTATCCTCTATTACAAATCAAAATGTAGATGCGTTGTCACCCGTGAGGACTAAGATGGAATGCCTCATTTCTAGTAATAAGGGCCTCCGGCCAACTGCACTCACCAAGCGAAACGCGGAGGTAAACCTCTACTTCACGCTGGTATTCTGTGAGGTCGTGGTACCACCCCGGTTCGAGCCGGCCCATCCGTGCGACAGCTAAAGCTGCCGCGTGGCTCTACCACTGTTTACCACTAATAGCACTAATAGCAAAAGTACAAAAAGATTACTTCGCAAAAACATTTCAATAAATAGAGACTCTTGTAACTATACACAATAAAGTGCAATTCAGTTCGCTCAATAACCTCAATAGTCTCTTCCAACGGATAGGTCTTAAGATGAACATGGAGAAAACAAAGATCATGTTTAATGTCCATGTCACACGTATGCCGGTAGTTGTTAGGAGCACTAATTCGAAGTTGTTGACGAGTACGTTTACCGGGTACAAATGTCCGACTACGAGAGGTCAATCGACGGATTCAACTCGGCTGGGCAGCGTCCGGTAGATTACGACACTTCTTCTCGTCAGACATACCTTAAAACTAGATTGTACAACCAGTGCGTATTGCCAGTGATGACCTATGGACCTGAGACGTAGTCCTTCACTGCTGGCCGTATGAGGAAGCTCAAAGTCGCTCAGCGAGCTAAGGAGAGGGCTATGCTCGGCGTTTCTCTGCGTGATAGACTTACCGACATAGCGTGAAGAATTAGTATGCTGAAGTGGCAATGAGCCGCCCATATAGCTCGAAGAACCGAGAACCGATGAGGAAGAAAAGTTCTCGAGTGGCAGCCTCGTACCGGCAGACGAAGTGTAGGGCGTGCCCCCACTAGATGGAGTGACGACCAGGTCGTGCTCGGGACCGTGCTTTGTGGTATTCCTTGGGGGAGGCCTATGCTCAGCAGTGGACTTGTGAAGGGCTGTAATCAATGAAAATGAATGAACTTCTGGGGCTGGTGTTAGTAGTTCACGACAAAAGTCGAACAGCGCGCCCCCCTACCATTAGGCTATTGTCTCTTTAATTAAATTTTATTTTATAAGGTTAGGATAACGTTATTTAATTAATTTATTCAATTATTCGTAGACCATATAAATAATTGTTCCGATCGGGATTCGAAGTTACGGTCCTCAAGCCTAGGTCCTGAAGCCTTATCCTAAGTTAAGCCACTGCGCCGGAGCTTGTAATGATCAGGCAGATGATTGAGGATAGGTTGCACCTGCAGGAAAGCAACAGCAGCCTGGAGCTGGAGCTGGGTGGCGCGTGGCGCTGCCGCACTGAGACGCGCACCGTGCACAAGCCCATGGACCTGCGCGTCTACCATCCCGCACGACAGCCTCCCTCGCCAGGTACGTGGGATAGTGAACACAAGTGCACACACAACTCGCACAGCATATACTTGTGCATTATGCTGCTGTGTTGTCGTTCGTAAATGACTTTTTTAATTATTTATTTATTTATTATAACACCTTACAACAAAGGCCTGTCGGCATTCTCTGCTAGTCGACCGGTAGCGTGGTAAACAATTGTGGCAGGTGCAAAGTTGCTTTAAGATATCTAAAGAAATATATTATATGTACCTAGTCAGGTCGTAAATGGGATTTCTTTGAATTCGCGCCTTCACAGCTTTTATCACTGCTGGAGTCCTAACAGACCGAGGGCGACCACTTCTTAACCTGTCATCTACACTAGAGTCTTCACTGTATCGTTTGAGAGTACGATAAACGAATCTTTTGGTTATATTCAAATTTTTCAGTAGGTCAAAAATTTGAATTGGCGCGTAACCGTAACGATGCAACGCAATAACTGCAACACGGTCTTCTTTAAGCGTCCACTCCATATTTAAAAATGAGTAAAATTCTAAAAAGTATACAGTTTTATTTTCATGAACAATTCGAAATTCGAATTCAATAAACTTTTTTGTGGCCAGCATTCTAACAGAAAAGTTTTTACTGTGTGACAATACTTATGACCTGACTAGGTATATCAATAGTAACTATAGACTTGCAACTCCCCAGTTGTTAATAGGCGGCAGTAGTCACAGTTAATAGGTGATTCACACGCTTTTTTGCCCCCTCTTCCATAGAAAGAAAAACATGAAACGTATCTCACCAGAGTTACACAACAGCATTACGGATAGCTTAAAAAGGCGAGCGTAGGAGTACTGCGGGACTAGCCAAGATGACTTTTCACAATCGTTAAAACTATAAAAATGAATAATAATACTTATAACAAAGTTCTCCACATCGAATTTCAGTCACGGTGGCCAGTGTCTACGGAGACTAACCATCTGCGTAAGCATAGATGCACTCTCAATATCCTCACCCTTAGAGTCCGATGGGACGGTAATCCGACACGACCGGAGAGAGATCAGGTGCAGGATCTGCGGCTTTTCGTGTTTTCCGAGGCACGGGGGTCGAACCCAGGACCTCATGATCAGCAACCGTGTTTACGACCACTGGTAGAAGTAGTTTTCTGTATCGTTAGCAATTGTAGAATGTTATTTTGGCTAACTCTGCTGAGCTTGTTGCCCGGCAGAGCTGTCGGCGCTGTGCGAGCGGCTGAACTGTTCGGGGCTGTGCCTGCTGGTGCCCGGCGAGGAGGGTGGTGAGGAGGGGGGCGGGGCGACGGCGCGTTGCGAGTGCCCTGAACACTTCGTGCTTGCGGAGGACGGCCGCTCCTGCACGCCCAACTGTACCACCGCCCAGTTTGTCTGTCGCACCACGCTTAAATGTATACCGTTTTGGTGGCGATGTGACACACAGGTAAGGCTTTTCTTTTATTATGTATTCATCTCAGTTCTTAGGGGTGACAACGCATCAATTTGGTGCATCATCAAATCTGCATTTTGATTCTTAATTAAGGATAAATGTAGATGTCTATGGGCCACAACAACCACTTACTATCAAGTGGACTGGGTGCTCGTTTGTTATATTATTCTATAAAAATATCTAGTAGTTGAAATAAATATTTTTACAACTATTGTTACGGCGTGCAGCTGCCTATCTAATAGTAGGATCCTCCTGGGCCCATGGTAAGAAGAACCTACAGGCAGATGCAGGTCGGGCCTTTAAGGCCAAAGTGGAAGGTATCTAATTAAAATAAACAAAGGGGGAAAGATCGGTAAGGGAAAGGCACTTACCTGCCTCTGGAGCGGAGACGGTTCACCAGGACCGGCCCGGCTGATGGAAGTGTCGTGAATGTATGTGTGCTTGTATGAATGTGTGTGTACGTGGCCTGGTCTAGATGACACAATACTGTCCTGGAGAAGGTATCCGCTGGTAGCCTCGGAACTATTCCCCTCTTGAGGCACTCTTTCTGTTTTGTCACGTAATGGTACAGCCAAACGTAGAACTTCAGAGGAAAATCACTATCGGAGTTGCACAATTAATTTGACAGAAATTAATAAGTCCTAAAGAACAATACGTGTTCTCGCAACGATTTACGCGGGTTTATACTTTCGTAACAAAAATAGGCGCGAAACTCAGACGTCAGTGTAGATCGCAAAAAACTTTACAATGCTTGTCGAGAAATCCGGCGAATACCGCCGTGGAATGCGGCCGGGTGGGGGCGGGTGACCTTGCTGTCGATGCTACGAACGCACGTTAAAAGATTTACATTTCAAATGTATAATATTTTTGCCTAAACAACTATTATCAAGTTTTATTGCTAGGAATATCAAGAACAAGACAACAATAATTTGTACATGCATACAAGAGTCTGTACATATTCTGTTACAAATGGTCTTGATCTAGGTTAAAAAAGTCAGAAAAGCATAGACGTGGTTGCATTGACTTATAAACATATAACCCATAAACGTGATATTTTGATCCGACTGACACTCCTGGACATCAACATTATTATAGCTCATCGCAGATCCACTGCTGAACATTGTTCTGTCCAATGGAACGGCACAGGCATAATTGCCGGTTTCGAGTGAGGTGCATGTATCGATCGGCGCGGTGGTGCGCAGGACGACTGCGGCGACGGGTCGGACGAGCCGGCGTGGTGCCCGCGCTTCCGCTGCGCGCCCGGACAGTTCCAGTGCGGCAGCGGGCAGTGCGCGCACCCGGCGCACATCTGCGACGGCGCGCCGCACTGCCGCGACGCCAGCGACGAGCGCGACTGCGACGCCTTCGCCTGCCTCGCCGCGCACATCAAGTGTCGCGCCAACGCAACGGCGCGCGTCGCGGCCCGCTGCGTGCCCGCTGCGGCCCGCTGCGACGGCCGCCGCGACTGCCACGACGGCGACGATGAGCTCGAGTGCCCGCCGCGCACCTGCCCGCCGCACCACGTCAGTTCCACCGAACATCTTATCCTAACATCTGCACTAACACATATTATTTTTTACGTGGTAGAGCCATGCTGCAGCTATATTAGTAGTATAGATGTAGCACGAATGGGTCGGCTCGACCGGGGAAGAACCACGCTCTCACAGAAAATCAGCGTAAAATAGCAGCTTAATGCTGCTGTGTTTCGTATAGTGAGTGTGGAGAACCAGAGAACCTTTTTACTAGCACAGAGGCATTTCATCTTAGTCTTCACGGGTGACAACGCATCTGCAGCTTGAGTCTTTATTGAGGATAGATGTAGATGTCTATGGGTCACAGTAACTACTTACATCAGGTGGACTGTGTGCTCGTTTGTCACCCTATCATATAAAAAAAATGATATTAACTATTTCTTTGTCAAAGGCCGTCAATTTATCATGATATCCGGCTCGAAGGATCATTATATTTATTTTATATCAATACGAAAACATCGATATAGTGCATACTATGTACTACCAGTATTACTTGTCACCAATGTCAATACGTGAACCACTCTCAGTAAAACATTTTATCATTAACAGATATCGAAGTTATTCATTGTTATTGTTCCATTTTATGACTTTGCCACGGAACACGAAATATGTAACTATGATGACTTATTATAGATGAATTTGATTATTTTGACATTAATATTTCCAGTACGATAGGTACATATGTCTTATATTTCATTTTCGGATTTATCTGTTCACTTCTTAGTAATATATTATTTCATCATTAAAAAAAAATTGTGTATGAACTGTAAAATAAAACATTTCTTCATCATTCGGCGTCTATTCGCAAGCCTCGCTTAAACATCCGCACTGTTTGACATTTCTTACCTTATATATAATACATAAACAATCGTTGTTCTGGTTGTAACAGTTTACGTGCGCGAACGGCGCTTGCGTGCCGTCCGTGTGGGTGTGCGACGAGGACTCGGATTGCGGTGACGGCTCGGACGAGGGTGCCATGTGCAGCGCGCGGAGCTGTGCGCGAGATGAGTTCCGCTGCGCCTCGGGACGCTGCATCCCGCGCGACTGGCTCTGCGACGCGGAGGTGCGCATACACGCACGCATCCACATGCACATACACACGCATACGCAAATGCACGCGCACGCCACGCATGCGCACATGTGGCATAGCTATATTATCGCCTCCACCGGGGAAAGACCACCGTTACAGCCTATTGAAGTCCACTACTGAACATAGGCCTTCCCCATAGTTTACCTGATAAAGGGAATATTAGCCACAGTTACCACGCGTGTTGGCAACCGCAGTTTTTTTTTTATTCATTTTTAAGAAGTTTCTGCTGCCCATCGCCTTAATAGTTTCACACTGTCGCCTCTTACGATTTCGTACCAATTCAATATTCAAGATTCAATACCAATCCTCGTACAATTAATTTATCCAAAGCCTATAGTATTAAAGTCGTCTTTCGTCTCTATCACAGTTTGCAAGTAAGTATGCTAGACTTTCTACGCGATAAAAGTGTGGCTATACCAAATAAAGCGAATGCACTCGATTGAACACGAATGCCGACTACCGCCGCATTATACGCCCGCAGGTGGACTGTATGCTCTTGTGTTGTCCTTACTCCACATAAAATAAGCACGCCACATATTGCGTTGCACCCGCTGACGCTGTTGCTCCCTCGCTCGCAGGCGGACTGCCCGGGGCGCGAGGACGAGGCGCAGTGCGGGTCGGGAGGGGCGGGGGGCGCGGCGGTGGCCTGCGAGCCGACGTACTTCCGCTGCCCGGACGCGCACTGCATCCCGGGCCGCTGGCGCTGCGACTTCGAGGACGACTGCGGCGACGGCGCCGACGAGATCGACTGCACGCCGCGCAACTGCTCAGAGTCCGAGTTCCGGTGAGGGTTTCTACACCTTAGCTTTTCTTAATATGTATTTCTTAAAGGATTAAAAAGAATCAGTAAAATCCAAAGTCTTCTATGTATACTACACGACCAACAATTCAAAACAAAACTGAGGCTATAGATCACGCGGGCGGTTAACTGGCAAGGTAAACATGTCACGCAGTTGTATTTTCATTAACTACAGTTACTGTTTTAGGTAAATCTATTACATATAATAGAAATGTAAATAGCAGATGTCTGTACATTTTAGATTTATATAATAAAAGTGATTGATGGGTACTAAAAATGAGTAATTAAATATATTTCTACCATTTTTAAAATTTTCTGTCGGTCGGTCTGTCTGTCTGGCTGTCTGTTGTTTGTTAACGTATCACGTATAAAGTACCAATTTCTATCACAAGAATTGTTAAAGAAATTATAAAGTGTATCTTCAGGTTACATTTAGTCTTTATTTCATTAAAATTAGTTCATTCCATCAAAAGTTATGATAAATATTCTGAAGTATGGCTACGAAGTATAGGTACGAATTTGTTCAATAGTGGCGTTTGTTGAGTCAAGTACATTTTAAACTAATATCATATTATAAATCATAATTAAATGATGTAAAATAAAATTTTATAATGATATAATTATACCTAAAACGCAGTAAACAAAAGTATTACATAAAGAACGTAATAAATATATACAAAAATATATTAACCTTAATCTAAACATATCTTAATCTAAACAATAGTTAACCAATTTCATCGATAGATGGTGTTGTTGCGCAAATGTGATACAAAAAGGCAAATTAAGGTTTTTTCCTGTAGATGTGTTTCACATTTGCTTCTAATCTTTATATTACACGTTGCCCTACTGCGTGTTGACAATCTCATTTATTTTTTACCGCCGAGTACTCTATGTGGTAAATCAAATTTCAAAAGAGCTATTAACAATTTCGTTAATAGCTCTTTTAACAAAATTTGTTACGGCCCCCAGGCCGCTGCCCCTGCAATGGTCGCCTTGGCTAGGGCCCATAGTAGCCTCCTCGACGGGCAGCCGAGGATTCGGGCTCAATTGGCCTTATGGACAATTGACATATCATACTACACAATAGGGAGTTAAATAAATAGCTAGGTAAATAAATAGTACGTACCTGAATCCGAAGCTACGACCGCACCAAGGCTCGGTCAGGTCGTAGGTAGTTGTAGGTGCATGTAAAGTGGTGTTTAGTGGTGTATATATTTATGTGACCTGGCCCAGCTGAGGTGACCGGGCAGCGGCCTAGTGCCATGCTACCCCACAGTGCTGCATCACTCCAGCAGGCGTCACCAAGTGACAACTTCTTTCTTCATGTCACTATTTCAGTCTATCAACTTTATTGTACATTTAACTAACTTCAACTCAACTAATTCAACGTTCATCGTAGAATCAAACACGTGATACCCGACACAAGTAACGAACAGTAGTTCAAAGTTCAATATTCAATGTTCCGGATTCATTTATCACCAAATTACAAATAGGGAACTAACGCGATCTCTTCACGAGTCACAAAGTTCAGCGTTACAACCAACAACTAAATTCCTTCTTACTATATTAAATACTACGCCGCAATAAGAATTCAAAATCAACCTATCTGTTAAAATTAAAATTACTCTAATCACTCAATTTCAAAATAAGCCTCTTGTCACGAACGTACAACTTAGACAAACTAAACCGAGGCGGTCTTCACGAAACCACAATTCAGTAGCGAAGTAAAGCGCACAAATACTAAAAATCTAGACCATTAACCCAAAAAACTGGTCGCGCGAAATACATGCAGCGGTAACCAAAATACGCTAATTGACCGCACCGCTGCTCTCAAGCTACTGTCTTCAGCCCGCGCGTCGAGCGACTGCAAGCGGCACGCCCCCCCCCCCCCCCCTCCTCGGCGGAGTTTAACTCACCTCACACCATTGGGTGATACACTAAGTCGAACGTGATTGGGTGGCGTATCAAATGCCTATATTTGGGCCTAAACAAAATTGTTAATAGCTCTTATTATAATATATTAATTAGGCATCAGCGCCTAATTAATATAATATAATATAACCCCGTTATAAGTTCTTTTATGTTTTTATTGTATCAATCGCGTCTATTAATCTCTTATTTTTAGAATTGATGTTTACAGCGCCATCTCTCTTTAAATCTATACATATAATAAAAATGGTGATAACAACATGTTGTGTCTGTTACTGTACATTGTATAGTATATTAATTTGTGACTAAAATCATTATGGGGACTGAAAATCATTAAATAAGTACATTTTTACAATTTTTAGAATTGTACTGTCTGACGGTCTGTCTGTTTGTATATGAACGCATGACGTTTTGGGTAAACATATAATTTTCAATGAAATCCTTAAGAAAATCATAAAGCATATCATGAAGTTCATTTAATCTTTGTTTTATTAAAAGTGGTTAATTCTATCGAAAGTTATGATTATTATTTTGAAATGTAGGTTCGAATTTGTTTAATGGCGCCATAAAATCTCAGAAATAGTAATAAAAAGATTCGTGTGTAAAAAAAACGTTCTATTATAATATATTTATACTTAAAACACAGGAAAAAGAAATATGTTTTCCTTAAATTAAAAAAAGGATGTTTTCTCACAAAGAACGTAATAGATGGCGTTGTACAAATTGCAACCTTTTCTGAATTGCGGTGTTAAGATTTTTCGCCGGTGAATCGTATTGAGACTCTCTGAAGAAATTTATGTCCATGAGTCCGATAAAGCTGTAAGAGCCGTGTAGGTTAACATCACAAACATCAACAGAAACAAAAATCAGAAAGAAAAAAATACTACGTACGCCCAAGTTATACAACAAAACCCGACTAAAAGTAGCAAAATTGCAATAAAATGTGGTGATATTGATTTATACCCAGAATCCCTCTAATACCAAATAACTTTCCTTTCAGTTTTAAGATAGGGATGATCGATGTTGCAGATGCAGAAACATCGATGAGTACATTGATGTTGCAGAAACATCGATGTTGGCGTCGATAGCTCAACATCGATGTTCGATGTTTAGCCTACTCAAAACATCGATCGAAAACTCCACTTGACGATTAAGTTTGACACAACATAAATGACATTTTTTAGGTTAACGATGCGTTCAGGAATTCTGAATTATTCAACATTTTTAATCTTCAGAGCAGATGCAAGATTTATTTGATATTGATTTCGCGGGTTCGCATTGTTTGCAAGTTCCCAATTATCGATTATGGGTTCATTGACATCGTTGTTTCCATGTTTGACATGTGTCATGTTTAATTTTTAGCATCAATGATCATCGAATAGCTGAGTGGGAAAGACCCTTAAAGTAGGGATGTATTTTAAGAGTGTTTCCCACTCAACGTGTGTTATGCGATGATCGTAAATAAAGCGCAAGGTCAAACTTTGCGCGTTGCAGGGGTGGACCTCAGTACTGATTGTTTGCACATGGCCAACTATATATTGTTTTTCACGCGTTAATAGTCCCCGTAACCTTTTTCTGTACGTCCCGGCTAAGTCTACTTCTAACGTCGTTTACACAGAAGCTCTATTATAAACGACTTAGAACTTTGAGCATATCGAGTTATTTTGTTACCACTTATTGATACAGTAATGATATAAATCGTTTAATATTCTCTTACCCTAACCGCCAAATTCTTTAAGTAAAACCTATATACGCGAGCTACTCCGCGGGCACAGCTAGTACGAAATAAAGTTACATACTTATCTGAAATCAACTTCAAATCATATTGGTAAACTGTGCATTTAAATAATGATAGCTTTTTCTTAGTCACATTAAACAAAAACAGTTTTAGATTGTGAAAAAACCGTTCGTGGTTTACAAAACAAATAATTAATCTTCTTGTATAGTTTTCGGTTGTGCGTGGGTGATGAGTGAGTTTTAATTGTACAGGTGCGACAACGGCGAGTGCATCCGCGGCGCGCTGCGCTGCTCGGGCGCGGCGGAGTGCGCCGACGCGTCGGACGAGGCGGCCTGCGCGCCGCACTGCCGCGCCGACGCGCGCCTCTGCAAGCACTCGCGCCAGTGCGTGCGCAGGTACGTGCGCCACACTACACAGATACGCTGCGCTGCTCGAGCGCGGCGGAGTGCGCCTCTGCAAGCCCTCGCGCCAGTGCGTGCGCAGGTACGTGCGCCACACTACACAGATACGCTGCGCTGCTCGAGCGCGGCGGAGTGCGCCTCTGCAAGTCCTCGCGCCAGTGCGTGCGCAGGTACGTGCGCCACACTACACAGATACGCTGCGCTGCTCGAGCGCGGCGGAGTGCGCCTCTGCAAGCCCTCGCGCCAGTGCGTGCGCAGGTACGTGCGCCACACTACACAGATACGCTGCGCTGCTCGGGCGCGGCGGAGTGCGCCTCTGCAAGCACTCGCGCCAGTGCGTGCGCCACACTACACAGATACGCTGCGCTGCTCGAGCGCGGCGGAGTGCGCCTCTGCAAGCCCTCGCGCCAGTGCGTGCGCAGGTACGTGCGCCACACTACACAGATACGCTGCGCTGCTCGAGCGCGGCGGAGTGCGCCTCTGCAAGCCCTCGCGCCAGTGCGTGCGCAGGTACGTGCGCCACACTACACAGATACGCTGCGCTGCTCGAGCGCGGCGGAGTGCGCCTCTGCAAGCCCTCGCGCCAGTGCGTGCGCAGGTACGTGCGCCACACTACACAGATACGCTGCGCTGCTCGAGCGCGGCGGAGTGCGCCTCTGCAAGCCCTCGCGCCAGTGCGTGCGCAGGTACGTGCGCCACACTACACAGATACGCTGCGCTGCTCGAGCGCGGCGGAGTGCGCCTCTGCAAGCCCTCGCGCCAGTGCGTGCGCAGGTACGTGCGCCACACTACACAGATACGCTGCGCTGCTCGGGCGCGGCGGAGTGCGCCTCTGCAAGCACTCGCGCCAGTGCGTGCGCCACACTACACAGATACGCTGCGCTGCTCGAGCGCGGCGGAGTGCGCCTCTGCAAGCCCTCGCGCCAGTGCGTGCGCAGGTACGTGCGCCACACTACACAGATACGCTGCGCTGCTCGAGCGCGGCGGAGTGCGCCTCTGCAAGCCCTCGCGCCAGTGCGTGCGCAGGTACGTGCGCCACACTACACAGATACGCTGCGCTGCTCGAGCGCGGCGGAGTGCGCCTCTGCAAGCCCTCGCGCCAGTGCGTGCGCAGGTACGTGCGCCACACTACACAGATACGCTGCGCTGCTCGAGCGCGGCGGAGTGCGCCTCTGCAAGCCCTCGCGCCAGTGCGTGCGCAGGTACGTGCGCCACAACTACACAGCTGACACAAACCGAGCGATAATTCTTCTCACAGATCAATTTCTTCATTAGAAGTCTTATTCACAACAGACATTTTTAGGTTTATCCACAACAGTAACTTTGAAGTCACATCCACAATAGAAACTTTGAAGTATTATCCACAACAGCAATTTTGAAGTCTTATCCACAACAGAAATTTTGAAGTCTTATCCACGACAGAAATTTTGAAGTCTTATCAACAACAGAAATTTTGAAGTATTATCCACAACAGATATTTTGAAGTCTTATCCACAACAGAATTTTTAAGTCTTATCCACAACATAAATTTTGAAGTCTTATCCACAACAGATATTTTGAAGTCTTATCCACAACAGAAATTTTGAAGTCTTATCCACAACATAAATTTTGAAGTCTTATCCACAACACAAAATTTTGAAGTCTTATCCACAACAGAAATTTTGAATTCTTATCCACAACACAAAATTTTGAAGTCTTATCCACTACAGAAATTTTGAAGTCTTATCCACAACAGAAATTTTGAAGTCTTATCCATAACAGAAACTTTGAAGTCTTATTCACAACAGAAATTTTGAAATCTTATCCACAACACAAAATTTTGAAGTCTTATCCACAACAGAAATTTTGAAGTCTTATCCATAACAGAAACTTTGAAGACTCATTCACAACAGAAATTTTGAAATCTTATCCACAACACAAAATTTTGAAGTCTTATCCACAACAGAAATTTTGAAGTCTTATCCATAACAGAAACTTTGAAGTCTCATTCACAACAGAAATTTTGAAATCTTATCCACAACACAAAATTTTGAAGTCTTATCCACAACAGAAATTTTGAAGTCTTATCCATAACAGAAACTTTGAAGTCTCATTCACAACAGAAATTTTGAAGTCTTATCCACAACACAAAATTTTGAAGTCTTATCCACAACAGAAATTTTGAAGTCTTATCCACAACAGAAATTTTGAAGTCCTTTCCATAACAGAAACTTTGAAGTCTCATTCACAACAGAAATTTTGAAATCTTATCCACAGCACAAAATTTTGAAGTCTTATCCACAACAGAAATTTTGAAGTCTTATCCATAACAGAAACTTTGAAGTCTCATTCACAACAGAAATTTTGAAATCTTATCCACAACACAAAATTTTGAAGTCTTATCCACAACAGAAATTTTGAAGTCTTATCCATAACAGAAACTTTGAAGTCTCATTCACAACAGAAATTTTGAAATCTTATCCACAACACAAAATTTTGAAGTCTTATCCACAACAGAAATTTTGAAGTCTTATCCATAACAGAAACTTTGAAGTCTCATTCACAACAGAAATTTTGAAGTCTTATCCACAACACAAAATTTTGAAGTCTTATCCACAACAGAAATTTTGAAGTCTTATCCATAACAGAAACTTTGAAGTCTTATTCACAACAGAAATTTTGAAATCTTATCCACAACACAAAATTTTGAAGTCTTATCCACAACAGAAATTTTGAAGTCTTATCCACAACAGAAACTTTAAGTCTCATCTTTCTGAACAAAAACTTTCGCCTTTTGTTTCGATATCGGAGAATTTGACAATGTTTAGCTGCTGCTTTATATGTCTAAATTTCGACTTTCAATTGCAGTTTACAATACCTGAAGTCTACATCCCATACATAAGGGGAATATTTGCCATTGGCAATCCCAGTTTTTATTTTTAATTATTAAGAAAGACACTGATGGGACGATTACATTTGGCAGTGGATATTATTACATTGCCACAACGAGGTCAGCACAGAACAGCAACGCGTTTACTAAGCAGGGCGACGGTGCAGATAACGTTAATTTTATGGAAAGAAAAAAATAACATTCCTCTTTATATTTGATACCAGCACAGAGCTACTGACGACCAGGTAAGGAAGTGATGGTCTGGTAAGACATCCTGCATGTCGAGTCGATGGATGAAAGCAGCTAAGAATTGTGTTTTGTGGTGTTCCTTGGGGGAAGTTTATGTTTAGCAGTGGATTTGTAAAGGGTTGTAATGATTTTTTATGGGATAAGGATGACAAGCGAGCACGCAGTCCACCTGATGTTAAGTGGTTGGTGTGGCTCATAGACATCTAAATCTATCCTCGTTTGCGAATCAAAATGCAGATGTGTCAGCTGTGAGGACTAAGATGGAATGCCTCTTTTCTAGTAAAAATGGTCTCCGGTTCTCTACACTTACCATACGTAATACTGCAGCATTAATCTGCTATTTTACTCTGGTATTCTGTGAGTGCGTGATCTATTTGTGTTACAATTATACAATTAATATAGCTGCAGCATGGTTCTACCACAGTACCATGTACATGATGATAATAGAGCCGCTTTTGATATGGTTTTCGTTAAAGTATTTTCAGCATTTTTGAGACAATCTATACATCTATATTTATACAAATAAATAAAATTGAAGTGTCTGTTTGTAAGGTAAAAATAACAGCTTTTTACTAAATCCATATGAATGTATATACGGTACTTATAACAAATACACAATTTTTGAAATTTTTTTCTGTCTGTCTGTCTGTCTGTTTGTTCCGGCTAATCTCCGCAACGGCTTGACCGATTTCGACGGGACTTTCACTGGCAGATAGCTGATATTCTAAGAAGTAACTTAGGCTACTTATGTTTGAGGAAAAGAATTAGGGTTCTGAGCAATACAATTAAAACCCTAAATTACACATTATATATATTTATATATAAACGATGTGACAACAAATGAGTGCACTATCCACCTGATGGTAAGAGGATGTTGTGGCCCATATACATCTATATCTATCCTCGATTAAGAATTAGTTTCCAGTTTTTTTTTAACGCAATATCAAAATGACAGCATTTGTTTGTTGGTAACAGTGAATGTAATATTATGTGCAGCGAGTGGTGGTGCGACGGCGAGGTGGACTGCAGCGACGGGTCGGACGAGGCGGAGTGCGGGTCGGGCGGGGGCGGCGGGGCGGGCGGGGCGGGCGGGGCGTGCGGCGCGCGGCTGGCGTGCGGGCGCGCGTGCGTGCCGGCGGCGTGGCGCTGCGACGCGCGCGCCGACTGCCCGGCCGCCGCCGACGAGCTGCCGCACCTGTGCGCGCACACCGCCTGCCACCCGCCCATGCTCCGGTACACACATCTGTCACACCATTACTGATGTCACAGCCTTACCAGTGTCACATCACAACATCTAGCTCACGAGACAATACCTAGTGTCACAACATCTCGTCAACCTCAAGGGGATAGGCACACGAAAAGCAGCGGGATACTCGGACCACGTTCAACCAAAAATAGATTTAAGAAAAAACTTAGTTAAGAAGTGAAAGGTAGCTAAGCCATCGCCTACACAATCACAAATTCAATTCCCCATTAGTCGCATTTTACAACACGCTATACCACTACACACAAACAAGCTAGTAACTAAGTACCTTTACTGACTTACTAGCACAACACGTAGTGTCACACCGAGAGCGTAGGCACAATCCAAAAACAAGGAAGCTACACGAACCACGTTTAGCCAACAAAATGGGTTAAAGAGGAAACTTATGAAAGAAGTGAAAAGTAACTATTAAAAACTGACATATATTACATAATGTGTTGTTTATATTTACGCAAATATTTTTTTTTATAGGATAAAGGTGACAAACGAGCACACAGTCCACCTGATGGTAAGTGGTTGCTATGGCCCATAGACATCTACATTTATCCTCGATTACAAATCAAAATGCAGATGCGTTGTCACCCGCGAGGACTGAGATGGAATGCCTCGTTTCCAGTAAAAAAGATCTCCGGTTCTCTACACTCACCATACGAAACACAGCAGCGTTAAGCTGCTATTTTACGCTGGTATTCTGTGAGAGCGTGGTCCTTCCCCGGTCGAGCCGACCCATTCGTGCTATAACTATACTACTAATATAGCTGCAGCATGGCTCTACCACATTAAAATATTACACATGAAACGCTAACTTTACGGATATTATCGCACTTAATTTTAACTTTTTTTTAATTCCTCACATTTTAAACATTTTATAGCACCCATAGTCAGGGGAAGACGTCCTGGTGTCAAAGTTAACGAAGACTACCTTCAAATTTTAATGACATCCATTACAGCTTTTACTTACTTATTAGCAAAGCACGTACCATCACAGCATCACGTAATCACCAAATGGTAAGCACGTGAAAAGCAGTGGGATACTCGGACCACAATTAATCAAAAATAAGTTTAAGAAGAAACTTATGAAAACACGAAAGACAGCTGGTCCATCACCAACACAATCACAAACCTAAGATGCCTTCTTTGTGGTCGAAGATAGGCACAATAAAAAAAATTGAACTACTCGGACCACGTTTAAACGACATAATGGATTCAGATGGAAAATTGTGATAGGTGAGATAGATGGCTAGCCCGTTGCCTACACAATCACGAACCCAATATGCTGTTAGTCCTCTTTTACGACATGCTAGACAAAAAACACGGAGAGCAGGAAACATCCTCTGTATTACTTATTTTTTGTTATAATTCTTCAAAATGGGACTCTTACATTAAAAACGTAAAAATATTCGTGAAAACTACATACTGTCTGTCTGCGTATATACCTGTCGATAAAATATACTTCAATAGAAACTTAATAAATATATGGTCCTTCGAGCTGGACCTAAAAATATATTTAGTAACGTTAATTTACATTCCAGGTGCAGCGACAACACTTGCATACCACAAAATTTAATCTGCGACGGATACGAAGACTGCAAAGACGGCAGCGATGAAAATCTACAATTATGTAAGTAGACATAACTTCACAAAAACGTATTACATCTTTGTTAAATATAATAAGTCGGTTTGTCTAAACTATAGCACCTCCAGGGGTTTGAATTTAGCAGATTCAACAGATTTGAATCTGCTAAATTCCACGTTTTAAATTGATAAAAATATTTTTTATTTGTATTAATTAAGTATACACATTTATCAAAATATCATAAACAAAATTATACACCGCATTTTTATAGAATAAGAGTAATTATCA